AAGAAGGGGCAGGGAGGTTAAGAGACCTCACGGACGAGGCTTGCTGTACGCTTGAAACTGTGTTTTCATAAGACATGCTTATAAAAATTAAGTAGCACACGAAAATAACTTAACAGTCACAAGGAAAAATAGGTGGGCAAAAACAATGATAATAAAAAAATGGCACAATTTACAAAATGGAACAGACTTACTAAATTGCACCAATATATCAATTGTTTATGGATAATTGTTATTTATTATGATTATAATCGTCACGTTTAATAATGTTTGCGAAATAATGTAAGTGTAATTAGAATAATAATATAAATCCACAGTTGTAATTATAGTTCATTTGATAATCCAAATTGAGATGAAGGTAGTCGTATTTTTGGAATTTGATTATTTCGCCAAAATTCGCTTCCCGTTCTCACGTCGGGATTACCAATTCTGTAGTGGCTGTGCTTCTATAATTAATCACCCTCGAACCGTTATCGTATAATCTTCAACGATGTTTGAAATCAGAAGGCAAAAAGAAGCAGCTACTACAGTTTATTTAGTAGATAATTCGGACCAGACAGCAGAGAGGCAAAATGAATGAGCAAGCGAACTACGATTGTAGCAGTAGCAAGTAGTTTTAGTAGTAGTAGTTGTTGTAGTTAATGGGTGCAAATGTACACATATATATATGTATAGGAAAATGGATGAGTCAGCGAATAGATTAAGCAGTTAATAATGAAGCTAGCAGAATGAATACATGCGTAGGCGCTAAACAATGTTCAAGCGTATGTATTTCATACAAGCATAATAATAAAGATAGTACAACAAGTTGTTATATCATGGATGACTTTGTCCACTAAATAAGTTAACAAAAAGGGCTTAACTGGGTTAAATGAAAATAAACCCATTAGCACGTGAGTCGCTATAACTGTATTATTCCGATGTTATTTTGTTTTGTGGTATGACGATGTTCTCCAACGATTTTTTTCCTAAACACTACTGATTATGATTGATTAAATTTTAAGCATCAAAGTAATTAGGAAATTTAGTAAAAAAATTTAAAGCTTTTAATTTTTATTCTTTTGTTTAAAACAATTACTAAATAACCTTTACGCTGATAATAATAAAATTCAGGTTAGGACGATACAATTTACTTTGTGTTAAGTCTTGTTTATTCGACCTTATTACTTTTGCTGCTTAGTATTCCTTAAACACTACTCCGTTACACTGATCTTTAAATCAGAAAACATCTCAAACAGGAACATAATTACATTCTAAAACAAAACAGTAGGTTAACCGAGTTAAAGTCACAGTAAAAAAAACGTTTTTAGTAGTGTTTTTACACAAAAAGACTCAAAGGTCTTCTCGATTTATCCACTAGCGTAGCGTTGATTAGCTTGATATTGGCCAGTCAGTATGTTGGAACGTTATTCCATATAGAAAATTCTGTAATTTAATTTATGTTCCAATTAAACCTTGAATTTCAATGTATTTTCTAATTTATATATCGACCTATTCGAATTGAACTCAGTGATATATAAGCCAAAGGTAAATTTCAGGAGCAACTTAGGCAATTTTGAAATCGATGCTGACCCATATGTTGGCGGTGGTTAGGTATTCATATTGCATGTCCTAACCGATTCGATCATTACAAATTTGATATCTTATCCACTGATTTGCCATTTTACTTAATACCCAACTCCCAACCTCTGGAGCTTATACTTATCATACTCGATCAATGATTCGATGGTATTTATGATTGAATACTAGTATAGTAAACTACAAATTATTCTGTATTTAAAAACACTATATCTTACATCTACATATCATGTGTTATTTAAAGCATATATATATATATATATATATATATATATATATACTATTTTTATCACTTCTTATCATGAAACTGAACACATGTAATGACAGTTGAATTATCACCATCTATGATGATATGTATATCGATTTTGTATTCTGCCTTATCTATCAATTAATGACTGTATTGTTGTTAACGCGTTACCATCTATATTTTCATTCAGTTATCTTTTTCATTATTTAACTTGACAATCTCTCTATGCGCAAATAAAAAAAATTTTTTGTTTCACGAAAAAAAAAGAACCCGACATTGATTACACATTGGTAGTGTTAATTTAGTTGGTTTATTGTTGAATATCTTTCAGTGAATATATATGTTCCATAGGTTTATCAAATCATCATCTAACCACATTATCAGCTGATATTCTTTGTGTGTGTGTGTGTGTGTAGGTAGGTAGGTAGATAGGTGTCTGTACGTCATACTATTTTAAGAGAATACTTGATTAAATTGTGTACATGTGTATATAGAATCATTTTATACAAGTGAAATCGAAATCATATATCATGATTATGAAAGTGATCCTTATTATTATCATCATTATCAGTTGTATGTTAATAGATTGAATAATTGGATCATATTTATGATGAAACTATTTTGTATGTTCATTTTAACTCAATAGATGTAATTTTTTATTTATTGTATAATCTTATATTTAAATATCATTGTAATAACTTGTAGATTTTCAATATTTTATGCTCCATTGTCAGTCAATCAGTCAGTCAGTAACAACGTAGAACTTCATACGTACGTACATCAGTTCGAGTTACCATAACACATTAGCACAGAGATGCAGTTGTCGATTCGAATCCCATAGTGGTAGAGGTAATAAAAGTATAAGCAGTAATCGGGAAGATTAGGGTTTGAAGATGTTATTCAAGGAGTATAATCCAATGCCCTATTGTCATTCTCATAAATGCAAATACTCCTTATTGAATAATAATAGATTGATATTTAGAACCATTCGTTTAAGCAAAGTTTATATTTGTTGTTTTTATCAATTATAATCCATATCTTGTTATTCTGATATTTAAAGGGTCTGGATTATTTGTTGAATGTACTTTTTATGCATACATTATAGTCTGTAATACTGATCAGTGTAAAATTGATTCCAATAATATAATAATTTCACAGATTGAAATCATGAGTCAGTTGAAGCTAGACCACCATTGAAAACCTGGAAGCACTGGACGGCCGTTTCGTCCTAGTATGGGACTCCTCAGCAGTGCGCATCCACGATCCCGCACCACGCGGGGCTCGAACCCAGGACCTACTGGCTTCGCGCGCGAGCACTTAACCATTAGACCACTGAGCCGGCATCCAACGGTGTTAATGTCTAACTTCAACCAATCCACGAAGTTGCGCCACCGTACACCATTGTCTTCAGTGAGTTCCTATCTCACAACAGACCTGGTTGAACTCCACTGGTAACGGCTTCTCACTAGAACTTCGGGAGTTTTTCCTGAAGTCAGTCACTAGTGAGCAGTTGATTATTATTATCAGAATGGGTTTTGTGGAGATTTTAGAAATTTCACAGATTGAAATCATGAGTCAGTTGAAGCTAGACCACCATTGAAAACCTGGAAGCACTGGACGGCCGTTTCGTCCTAGTATGGGACTCCTCAGCAGTGCGCATCCACGATCCCGCGTGGTGCGGGATCGTGGATGCGCACTGCTGAGGAGTCCCATACTAGGACGAAACGGCCGTCCAGTGCTTCCAGGTTTTCAATGGTGGTCTAGCTTCAACTGACTCATGATTTCAATCTGTGAAATTTCTAAAATCTCCACAAAACCCATTCTGATAATAATAATCAACTGCTCACTAGTGACTGACTTCAGGAAAAACTCCCGAAGTTCTAGTGAGAAGCCGTTACCAGTGGAGTTCAACCAGGTCTGTTGTGAGATAGGAACTCACTGAAGACAATGGTATATGGTGGCGCAACTTCGTGGGTTGGTTGAAGTTAGACATTAACACCATTGGATGCCGGCTCAGTGGTCTAATGGTTAAGTGCTCGCTCGCGAAGCCACTAGGTCTTGGGTTCGAATCCCGCGGGGTGCAGGATCGTGGATGCGCGCTGCCGAGGAGTCCCATACTAGGACGAAACGGCCTTCCAGTGCTTCCAGGTTTTCAATGGTGGTCTAGCTTCAACTGACTCATGATTTCAATCTGTGAAATTTCTAAAATCTCCACAAAACCCATTCTGATAATAATATAATAATTATAGAAAATTGTGTGGATTGTTAAACTATATAGTTTCCATCATGAACTAATCTTTATTAAGCAAACAATGGGAATCAGGGAACATTAAGGAGCTTTTTCGTACGAGCATAAAACTTCTAAGCAGTAAACATTAAAACCATCCATGCCTTAACTAATTGAATTTAATCATATATTGTGTGAGTCACTTACCTACTGTTAATGATAGTATTTAAAGAAGGTTGTTGCAATATCACAAAATGATTCAAGTCAAACCATTGCAGCCCCTGGCTCATTTTAAAGGTTAATTGCTCACTGCATGACTTGAAAGTTTTGCATTCGATATCTGGTTAAAGGTCATCTATCTACACTACTGAGGAGTTCTATGCTACGACGAAACAGATTCCCAGTGCTTTCTGATTTTCAATGTTTGTCTAACAAAATTAAATTTATCGCGTAAACTTCAGTATGTCAATAATATCCGAAATCCATACAACTTAACAAATACCTATTCCCACATTATTGAATACTTCATGTATAGATTCCATTACAAAAGTTTGTTGTTAACAAAAAGTCAATTATTTTATGTCAAGTGTTGTTGTAGTAGTAGACCTCTAACGGTGTTAGTATCTATTCTTAATATCTTATTGTATAACACTATGATCACCACTATTCAACATACCTTATTGTATATACGTCATCATCATACATATTATGTTCTTACCACTTTCCACTGACTACAACATTCATTTCATTTTCGTATTCAGACAATGATGGTCTAGCTTAGAATTGACTCATGAATTAAACTATTAAAATACTACAATCCCCTATACTAATAATATTCAAAAAAATAGTTTATATTATTGTCTTCATTCTTTTTTATTTAATGTATTCAATGTTATATACTACTTATATGTTCATTTTTCATTCTTTTTTTTCCCCTAAAATATTTAATAGTTAATTTAAAAGGACATTTCAGTTATCATGGTCATTTATGTTTAGTATTTGAATTACTCTCTTATAATTTATATGATTTACTTGGTAATACAAATTATCGTGGTGTATCATTAAATTTAACAAGAAAATTTGCTCAACAATTATGTGCTGCATTAGTATTTCTATCTAGATCAGATGTACAAGTAATACATTGTGATTTAAAACCGGAAAATATTTTATTAGTTAATCCAAAACGTTCAGCAATTAAAGTGATTGATTTTGGTAGTTCATGTCATGTACATGAAAAAGTATATCAATATATTCAATCAAGATTTTATCGGTAAGTTAATTCATTATTTCATTGATGATGTTTATGTAATATTTGAATCATTTTATCTTTAATATTATCAGTATAGGATTGTTGACCGAGAATGGATTGGGCCAACCCTCCATCTCGAAATGCTCTCACACGGCCATGCGTATACAGCCTCTGACAGGGAAGTCCTACTCAATGCCTTCTCGTGGCATTACTGTTGTTTACGAAAATCAAAGGACGAAAAGCGAATGTCCGGCGCCTTAACCGGATTCCAAACCAAATCAATGGTGCACATGGGCTCCAGTATCCTGGGGGAACAAATGGCGTATGAACCAATTGTTGATCACCGGCTAGCATGGGACTGTATCTCCTCACGATGCTCCACTGCCTTGTGGGTCAGACCTTTAGGTCAAAGGCTCGGGGAGTGGTCCCCTAAGAAAACCACCTGTTTCGATTTGGGCACCCGGGCAGTATCACAGCCCTCACACATATCGAATGAGATTTGTGTGGCGCATATGTATTTGGTGCCTCCTTGTACCAATATCTATGTGTTTAAATAAATAATAGGATTGTTAATTTTCACTGAACAATGTTTAACCATCATTGAAAGCCATGAAACACACGGACGGTCGTTTCGTCCTAGTATGGGACTCCTCATCAGTGGTGTATCCACGATTCTTCACACAGGGAATTCGACCTAACACGCGTGAACACTTAATCTCTAAACCACTGAGGCGACGGGGTTTGTGGTGGTCGGTATTCGATATAATCCTTAAACTTCGTATACAGTTGGTCTTGATAAACCGTCCTAGATAACGCTTTAACGGCATATTAATCAGAAGGTGAATACGAAGTGTTGATTACGTTAATTACGGGACCACATACAGATATCCAAAATTACAGATTCGTTAAACAAACATGAGAGTTGTGCCGAAAGGCAAGCGAGCGAGTGAGTGAGTGAGTCAGCGAATATGATTACGAGTAAGCGAGTACAGTTAAGCGAGAGAGAAAGAGAGAGCAATGAACATGAATAACATGGATATATTATATATATACATGGTGAAATGAATGAATCATCGAATCAATTAATCGTTTAGTCGTAAGGCCAGCAGTGTGAATAAATGGGTGAGCAGTAAGCAATGCTCAAGCATACATGTTCATACATTCGCAACAGTGATAAAGATACGATGATATAGATAGGTTGTTGTACGGATGACTCAGTTCGTCAATAAGTTAACAAAATGACTTAATCGAATTAATTGCGAACATACTCAATTTCACGTGAGCTGTTATACGTTAATGTGTCTAGTAAGCAACAAACGTAAAAAGTGAATATCCTTCTTTCTCTCTTTCAAATATCTAGGCTATCTACAGTCTTTTATGAATAAGTGATGTATTTCTTGTTATCATTATCAATCCATTGGGTGTTGGTTTTTTTACGTTCCATGATTATCATTACTATTGATTGATTACGTAGTATTGAATTTGCTGACTTACAATAATAATAAAACAAATTCAAAATAAATTCTACTATACTACTAATCACTAGCTTGTAATTGTGAAAATGTTAACTGCCTTTCCGAACCTATTTTGATGATACTAAATAATATGGAGTATATTTCTGTATGTCTGGAAAGCTGGTTAATTTTAAGTCCCCTTTTTATCATTGTTTATTTATTATTTTATTTTAACACATAGATATTGGTACAAGGAGGTACCAAATACATATGCGCCACACAAATCTCATTCGATATGTGGGAGGGCTGTGGTACTGCCCGGGTGCCCAAATCGAAACAGGTGGTTTTCTTAGGGGACCACTCCCCGAGCCTTTGACCTGAAGGTTTGACCCACAAGGCAGTGCAGCATCGTGAGGAGATGCAGTCCCATGCTAGCCGGTGATCAACAATTGGTTCATACGCCAATTGTTCCTGCACGATACTGGAGCCCAATCCACTCTTGGTCATACCAGGGCATTCGGGGGCCCTTATTATTATTAATACTATTATTATCATTGTTATTCAAAAGTATACACAGTAGTAGTAGGAGGGCAGTGAATGAGAACACAAGTAGGGACAATCGAATGTATTTGAATACAAAATTACATGTCGTCTTCGTAAAATTTGATAATCATACAGTAAATACTTAATTTGCAAAATGCCAATCAATTGTCTCAAACTTGATTGATCCTTTGCAAAGGTCAATCGATCGTCTCAAAACCCACTGTTCTATCACTTCCATACAAATTGCTTTCTGTTTCCGTTTTTTTCTTCTCAACCTTTTGCTGCCAGACATTCTATTCCTGACTAGTGTTTTATACTACTTATGTCAATATAAGTAGCATACACAGGAGTAGCATATTGGTACTAAGAATAAGACTTTGACCGATTTGTTGATTCCCGTATCAACACTTTTCTTGATGATTGTGTTTTTTTTCTCTTCTCAATTAAATACATGTCTACTTCATTATTTTTCTTAGAACAATGGAAGAATGGCGAATAATATTTGCATAACATTATAATGAACTCATTTATTATTTCATGGGTTTCTTTCTTCAACTAATATACCGTTTAATAACTCTCTAGTTATTTCCATTTAATAATGGAATGTATGCGAATTTCCATGCATAAACTGAATTATCAATCAATAACAAACAAGTTGTTTGAAATGTGAAAGAACTAAAGTTTCAACAGGGTTGTTTTGTTTTCTGAATAGTTTTCAAGGGTGTTAATTCTAGAATACTTAAAGCAATCTTTTTATTACGTAATGTAACACTTTTTTTAGAAGTTTACAAAGGAAAAGAGGACGAGTAAGCTCGACTCACTAGATTATGACTATAAGTAATTGAAGTCGAGGTGTTTAATTTTTTTAAACCATTTTTTCCATTCTTTTGTCTATTCTTTCTTGTTGTAGTTTGTATTAGCGAACATATATATTTATGAAAATATACAGACTATTTCGTGAAAAAAAATTTTCCCAGTGATATAGCTTTTTGTGTTCTATCACGATTGCAAACCGATCGAAGTTAGGTAGTCATTGAGGATCTGGAAGCACTGGATAATTGTTTTTATCCTAGTATAGGACTTGTCGACTGTGCACATCCTTAAGCTTAGTACTAGGAATGAAACCCCAGGACCTTCGATTTCGCACTCGAATTATTCCATTTTTATTTATTTAAACACATAACCATTGGTACAAGGAGGCAATAAATATGTTTGCACCATATAAATCATTCGATTTGTGTGAGGGCTGTGATACTGCCCGGGTTCCTAAACCGAAACATGTGGTTTTTTAAGGGGCCATTCCACGAGCCTTTAATTTAAAAGTTCAATCCATAAGGCAGTGGGCCAACGTGAGGTAATGCAATCCCATGGTAGCCGGTGACCAACAATAGGTTCATACACCATTTGTTTCCTCAGGATCCTAGAGCCCTATGTGCACCATTTGTTTGGAATCAGGATTTTCCAACTCCCGCTAGGCGGATCCTCCGTATCCATCACGCGAATACTTAACTCTTAAACCACCTAAATGGAATTCAATTGTGTACAGATCTAATTTCAAACAATTCAATTATTATCAGGCTTTACTCTAATGTACAGTAATGTTTATATACATGTGCAAAAAATCAAACCAAGTCAAATTATTCGTCATTAATCACATTGAAAAACGATAACGTAAATAGTATGAATTGACACTAAGATAATTGGCGTACTGGTAGTGACAAAAATAAAGACAGATTGAATGAATATTTTAATACAGGAAGCAGGCCAAACCTGGGATAATAAACACTAAATTATTATTCATTAAAAATTGTTAATACTACGTTGTAAGTGTGCAAACAATCTGTTCAAGTATATGAATACAAAATAGAGTAAAGAAAGGCAAATAAACAAGGGATTTTAAAGAATCAAATAACCTTTTATTTTAATCAGGTCAAGGAAAAGACCCATCATTTTTAGCATATAAGGCTAGGTCGTAGGCTCAAATCCCTACTGTTTTAGTTGTATGTACGAAAGCACGTCGAACCATGTTGGAAAAAAATGCGAAGGTTTATGATTAATCATTTGGAATAATTTAGTGGTATTCGACATCTGACTGCTGTTGACTGTGATAAGACCTAGCTACATATTATTTTTGTTTTACTCTGCAAATCACATAGGGATATCTTCATTCATTTGTCCGTTAAGTCGCCGGTTATCCTCAATATAGCTTCCTCTACAGGAGCAGCTGAATTAATAGATATAAAACGGAGGCAGAATTATCCTTTGTTTGAGTAAACATCTTCAGTCGACTAGACAATGGAAAGCTAAGATCAGTTGTATGGAAGTTGTTTTCAACCCTCTCCCTCTTCAGTGAATACTTCCTTAATTTCTATCTGATTCAAACCAATCTGTTTGACTGTATGGATGATCTAGAAATATTGCTTATAGCGGGACAACTTGACCTAGCACTTATGGGTTACAACTACCATACTCCTTTTTTTGATATCCAATCGGAGTGATGTTTTGAGGTATGTTTTGGAAGAGCTCACTTTTGTGCAGTCGACTTAACCTACTCCACAAGAGCGAGTAAACTCATCGATACACTCATCAATGTCTTCATGGAAAGTCTTCTCACATATTATTTGAGTTCGTTGTTTTGAATTTAAGCTTGTCGAAGTTAATATTATTGATAAATATCTTTCGGAGATTACATATTTCGCTGCAAATTGATTATAGAAATCGATTATAGAAAGTGTAGATCAAATTTCTTTTCCGACTTAATATGACCAAACTTCATAATTTTGTATATGTTCCATCATGACCTTCCATTTATGGATCTTAGTAACTAAGAATCTGATCTTCTTTTCAATAGGATATTCATGAAGTGAAATTCTGAGTGTAATCCTGATTGTAATATAAACTTGATTTATTGAGTTCGATATTTTTATCACAAATAGTCAGGTGCCATCCACATATCATATATATAGATGAAAACTCGATTGTGGGTCCAAGTTCCTTGAAATAGTCACCTAGACGACAGGCTCCCGACCATTCAATCTCTACTCCAATAATTTATTAATAAAACTGATTGTTTAACCTAAACTGCACATTAAAAGTTCTAAGAATATTTGTCTTCCCTAGAATATGTTGCATGATAATATATAGTCTCATAATTTGATGTAGTGCTTTACCTTGTTTTGTTTTTTTCTGATTGTTGGTTGATACTGTTTTAAAGTAGTTTAGACTAACACTTGTCTCTAAATCTATTCTACACACTAAAAATTACTTCAATTCGCTACCAGATATATTTATATATTCCTTAATCAACTGATTTCAGCTGAAGATAACTATTGAACTCCAGATAACTGTATGCACCCACTTATGTGAGAAAATATAAGGATCGCGATCTACTGCTCATCACTAGGTTATTCCGAAATGTTAACAAAGGGTAAAGGATAAATGTTTTACACAGAAATCGTTGTACATTTAGTTTAGGCAAACGATATACGATCAAATAATTAATTCAAAGATTCGAAACCCACTCTATGTACTTAATTTCAAATAGTTACTTGATATAGTTGTCTTTTCTTCTTGTTATTTTTTAGTACTGTCTCACGTGTTTCTTCGCTGAAGCATTACCATTATTATCATATATCACTCAGTTGTACTTTGCCTTTCATTTATAATGCTTAATGCAAAGAAATTATGAAAACAATCAGTCTTTTTTACTTACTAGTATTGTTGGTTATTATGTCCACCTCTCGTTTTTATTGCTTATTTCTCAAAAAATCATATCTTCTCTTTTCCATATTAAGCTCTCCAGAAGTATTGTTCAATTTAGACTATGGCTTGGGTATTGATATGTGGTCACTTGGCTGTATTTTAGTCGAAATGCACACTGGCGAACCATTATTTTGCGGAGCGAATGAGGTTTGTTTTTTATTTATTGTTGTTATAATTCCCTTTCATTATTTATTATATCTATCTCTATGTCTGAGATTATCTTATATTGATAACTCAACATCTTATGCAAAAGTAATTTTCAGTAGAGATAATCACTTTGTATATTAGACTCAATTGTGTAGAATCTCTTTCATAGTTATTACTCAATCTGTCTGTTTGTCTTGGTATAGTCGGGATTGGAGACAATTTACTCTCATACGACGATATACTTACAACCTCTGCCATATAAGTTCTACTCACTGTCTTCATGCGGTTGGAATGTCTTTTCGGAAATTAGGGGACGAAAAACGAGCATCAGCTACTGAAACTGAGGGGTGGATATTCAAGGTTCACCTAGAAGAGTTGGGAAATAATGATTCCATACCAGTGGTCCACATGGGCTCCAGGACCCTAAGAAACAAGAGGTGAACAAACTTATCTTTATTCACTGGTTTCCACGAGACTGCATCTTCACTCTTTTGTGGACAAAACTCTTCAGTCAAGAGCTCACAGGAATTCGCTCGCTAAGCATCATGGCTCTCACATTTTATTTTATGTGGTGCATCCTATTTTTTGTGTCTAGCTGTACCAAGTTGTATAGACAATTAATTATTGGAACAACTTTAACATACCATATCTGTTTGTCTATTGTATAAACAAGGGAATTATCACAATCGGTAAACTGAAATCTCTCTGTTTATTTGTTTTTAATAAAAAAAATGATGTTGAATCATCTTCGAATGTAACCCTTATTAGTCCTGTACACTTTACTCACTATGAAACTGATTGTTATCAAAACGTTATGCATATATTGCATAGAATAAAGTTTTTTTTATTCCACATCATATCAGTATATAACCTTTTTGCATATCTAATCAGATAGACGCATACCTGTAAGCAGTGTGTCGCAATATTGTTCAATAGAATTGTAATTTGTAAAAAATTTTCTCAAAAATCAAATGGATTTTAAACGCTTTAATACATTTCAATTTGACTGTCGTTTATAGTCAGGGTATTTTAAAGGTACAATTTTATCCATGTTATTATTACCCCTCCCCCTCCCTACTTGAGTTTTTTTAAATCAGTTTTTTTTACTGTATTTTACTCTTTAGCTTGAACAACTGCTCCAAATTATTGAAGTGCTTGGTTTCCCACCGGTGTATATGATTGAAGCTAGTCCTAAATTATCAAACTTTTTTGAATGCATACCGGTGAATTTGAATTCTACTTCAACAGCAACAACAACAACAAACTTAATCAGTACTTCTACCACTGATGGTGGTGCTGACTTAACTGCCAATAATACTAGTATTAATCCGGCCTCGAACCCTACAACGACACCATCGACAACCACATATGGCACATTAACAACTACAATTAAAACAAACACAATAGCTGGAGATAATACAGTGGCAGCAACAACAACAGCCACTGTTTTATCTTCATCAAAAAATACTACTAATGCTACTACTACTACTACTACCACCATCAGTAGTAGTTCGGCCTGTGGTGCTGATTGTATTAATCATTGCTCCAATAGTAATACAAATGTAAAAAATCCAGTCAACCCTGGTGTTACAAATAGCTGTGATAGTAATAATAACTCGAATACATCAAACAATATAGCTGATAAATTGAATACAGGTGTATTATTATCAACATCTGGGACTGTGTTTTACAAACCGAAACGTGTATGGACTAAACAAGAGTGTACTTACGAGGTGAGTGAATCTTTTTAACAAAGAAAAATACAATATTTTGTTCCCTGCACTATAAATGATGAGATTTGTTTCCATTAGACTATTTATTTCGAGAAAAGGTTCCACTCATAGTTATCTTTAAAACTTTCACTAAGCCTGAAAAATACCAGAGACCATTCATCAGTTGGTGTCTTTAGTTGCTCCTAGAACTAGATTCTTATGAATTTGGACCATTCTTCATTATTGTCATGCTATTCAATATTATTTCTCTAACGATAAATAGAGGAAACAAAAGGATTATATCATGAGGCTGTGAACTATAAATGACGAGTTTGTGCTATACTCCATAACTGACCTTGATAAATTCTTGACTTCGTCCAGCCAATCTGAATCTAGCAAATATGAATAAATAATTTCTTGTTGCTAAGATTAGTATGAACACTAGAATTGGTGTTAAGTTTGATTATATAGGTTATATGGAGCCTAAGTCTTTGGGTTCTATACCTTAATCTTTAATTCCAAACACTTACCCCTAAAATCATAGTCCTATCCTTAAGCTTAAATATCTGCAATTTCTTTTATGTTCTTATCACATGATAAAATTGCCAAATTGTTGACCATTACGAGAAGCCTAGAGCTAACTGCGAGTTCTTATTGGCCCTCTGAGATAGTAGCTCCTCGCCTAACTCAGCCGGTCCAGTCCAGAAAACTAATGTCAGTCTCCGCTACATCAATCATGTGTTCCAGCCATACGTAGTTTATATACAAACAAATCAGACCGCATCATACCATAAAATAAGTAGTAACAATTATACAAGACCAGATTAAATATGGCTGTGATTGTGAGAGATTATAACTAATATATTGGGAATAACTTAAGAATAGCAAATCGTATCATCATAACCAATAGGTTAAATACAAGCTTATAATGAGAGGAATATAAATAAATATATTTACTTAACAGTTATACAACAAGAATATATGTAATAATAGTCCATAAATAGTTCCTACCAGTTACTATCCATTTATTCCTCGTTAGGATATAACACCTTTCCATTTTTAATACTAGTCATCGCACATTGAATGGACAATATACCATTTCGATATATGCCTCAAAATATTAAAGTGGATTGTTCATTTGTGGATTTACTCACTTCTGATAAAAGTAGTTCAGCTTTACTGAGTTATCTTCTTACCTTTTTTTGTGGTAATTTTCCTATTTTACACTATTAACACTTGACATTTTCTTCAATGATATAGTTGTCATCGTTTATACCTCATCAGTTGTGTTCACTTTTCTCGTAATTTTCTTCATTGTTTGATACCGTTTTTAACATTTTCCAAATCTGTCAATCCAGACTGTAAATCTCCCGTGTTTTTTTTGCTTTTGCCTTACTCATTTGTTACTAGAGTTAGCAATATCATTTTAAGGTGAAAAGAACTGTTTACAATTTATTGACTACTTTGTAAACTTTTTTCTTGTTTGTTTTTTCTCTTTGGTTCGTGATTTCTCAACACATTCACTATCTGTGGTAAACCACATATTCATAAGTGGTAGCATCTTAATAAAAAATATTTTATATATTTAAAAATTAAAGCAACACATATAAGCGAACAATATTGTTTTCAATTAGGTCGTCATCAGGCTTTTCTCTAATATATATGAATGTTTATACGAAAATGTTAAACCAATCAAGGCTATATTATGAGTCAATAATTCGGTACAAGAGAAATTTGGTTAGATTGTCTCACTAACAGAGCTAAAAAGATCTGCACAGTAGACACTCTAAGTCAGGAGCTTGAATTCATCAACAACTCACTGACCGAGATCGCCTACCCCAGTGCTTTCATTAAGAATTACATGTATGACATAATAAAGAAGTCAGAGATTTCGACTGTTCGTAAGAAACCTTTATATATGAAACTACAATTCAACGGGGATGTGGCCAGTGATACTCTGAAATATAGGTTAACGAAAGTAATCATCAGGACATTCTACGCAGCCAATCTTGCGTTGGCTTTCTCTTGTCGACCAGCGATGTCTGTGCAAACGAAGGATAAGTTACCTGAGTTGGCCTCCTCAATGTGCATCTACAAATTCAGCTGTTCCTGTGGGGATAGCTATATCGGGTGTACTACCAGGCAACTTAACCAACGAATGAGTGAACATCTACCAGCGTGGTTTATAAAGGGCCAGAGAAAATCTATTCGCAGTTCTATCTTGGCACATCTCATTGATAGCGGTCATGCTGTAGATAAATCGAAGTCATTTCGAGTGATCTATCGTATACCTCCATCATTTCCCAATGGAGTTCGTTCCCACCTGCTACATATAGCTGAAGCTATAGGAATTCGTACATATAACCCCAATTTATGTGTACAGAAGAAATACGTGACTCCCCTATCCCTCCCATGGCCTGTTATAACTTAACAAATGACTTTTATTTTGTTATCATTAGCCTTATTTTCACATCCATTATTTGTTTGTAATTTCCTGCCTCTTTCCGTTTGTATTCTTCACTATCTAATTATTTACACACTCCTTATTACGTAATGATTTTAATGTTTTGGTGTTGACTATTCCAAGTCTATTTATCCACGTTTGACTTTCTATTTTCAACGTTTAACTATTAATAAGACTTTTTTTAAATCGCATTTCATTATTCTTACTACTATCAGTACACCTTTCTTCCTACTACTATCAACTTGTATTTTTACTTATTATGTGTGGTGACCTATTCTATTTCATTATGATTATTGACCCATATTACCTTGATTTGTTTAACATATTCGTATAAATATTCATATATATTAGAGTAAAGCCTGATGACGATCTAATTGAAAACAATATTGTTCACTTATATGTGTTGTTCTAATTTTCACAATGGGAATTTTTAATATTTAAAAATGACAACTTTCATTCAATTCACTCCTCTCTTCATCTTACTTAATAATATACATTTAGTTTATTGATCGATTATTTCATCTTCTAAGGTATTTGTTCACAAATTGAGTTTTGATAGATAATCAGTTTCATGAAGTGACAATAATAGTAATAATAATGACCAACTTGGTTGCACTAGAATACACACATTTCATATTTGATTTTAGGACTCAGTAGCTAAATGAATAACGCGATGGCGTTTGAAGCGAAGGGTACTCGGTTCGAGTCCCAGCCAAAGAGAACATTAACTCTGAGATGCATGTGCATTCAGTTGACGAGTCCCAAATAGGACGAAACGCGCGTTCTGGATTCCAATAATAGCCACTGTATTTGATTTTATCAAATCAGTTGACTAATAATTATGTTGTATCAGATTCTGTTAGAGGAAATCAATTTTCAACCAATTAGATACAATGTACAGATTTTGTTCTGTCTTATAATCTATAGAAGTCTGATCAACCAATTTAATTCATAATGTGAAATATTATATCTATGTAATCATATACATTCATGATCTCTGAGTTCTTGTTGTTGTTGTTTTTCTTTCTCTCTCTTCTGAATCATTGAAAAATGTCTAATATTTCTAAGTAATAATTAATGAACAATAGAATATAATTTACAAAAGTATTCAAGTGATCTAATTCCTAACTCTTTCACATTCATTAATTCATTGAAGAAGAAAAGAACTTTCTATCAAATATTATTTTTCATACTTTTTTTAATGAGTTGAATTGATGATTCATTAATGTCTGATGGAGATCTCGTCACAGATACAGAAATCTGGATTTACATTTGCCTGCTTTCATCACTCGTGGTGTAGGCGAGATGTCCATGTACCGAATGAAAGATAAGTCTTCTGCGCAACGGTTCGTTACGTTCTACTTTCTGTGTATGGAACATAGACATTAAGAGTAGAGGATATTCGTAGGTTACTAGTATCTGAAAATATGTATCTTTAGAACATCATCCGTGTATTTTGGAACCATAGAGTAAGCAATGCCTGGGTTAGACATAGGGTACTTGGGAAAGAGGGAAAATATAATAAAAAAGGTAGTAAATACTCATCAGTTGGAGTGGTTGAGACATATATTGTGTATGCTCAACTACTGCCTACCTTGAAGCACCATGTTTATGTAGTAATTAGATGGAAGAAAGCCAGATGCGGAAAATCAAGACGTACCAGTTCACAAAGTCACTGACCATTGGACTCAGCTATATTAACAGATGTAAACTACCTACTTGAGGTAAGCATGATTATCGTAACCAATGTTCTAAGATACTGGGCGATATAACTCGGAATCGATCACAATGGCAGAGATGCATTCACTATTTATCTTCCCTTAGTTGCTGAATCCCGAAATCTTTACTCCTTTTTCTGTTGTCTACATCTAATCTTTGCTACATTAATACCGTCGTCGCTTCTACTACTATGGGATTTATTTTGATAATTTTATTTCATTGTTCTAATGAGGGCATATATCAACTTGAGTCGATGCACATGTGTATCTCGCTTTACTTTGGGTAATAACTAATTAATTCAGTTATTATTAGCTAAACAGTTTTAGTTAGTCAATACTTATTTCTAGTAATTAACTATCATTGAAAATCTCTTTTTGGTAGTGTAAATTTTCTGGAGTTGGAACAAGAACATTGCGTACAGTTGTCGGAGCTGATATTGGTGGGCCTAAAAGTTGTCGTCGTGGGGAACAAGGTCATACACCTGAAGATTATGATAAATTCGTCGATTTGATCCAACGTATGTTAGTATATGAACCTCGGTTTCGTATTCGCCCGGAGGAAGCTCTAACGCATCGCTTTTTCACACGTAAAGATGAAAGTGGTAAGAACCCTGTTTTAATGTCAAGTTAAAATTGATGTGATTCCAGTACTCCTTAGTGAATGGCGTAACATGTGTAGTGGCTGTGCTTCTATAATTAATCACCCTCGAACCGTTATCGTATAATCTTCAACGATGTTTGAAATCAGAAGGCAAAAAGAAGCAGCTACTACAGTTTATTTAGTAGATAATTCGGACCAGACAGCAGAGAGGCAAAATGAATGAGCAAGCGAACTACGATTGTAACAGTAGCAAGTAGCTGTAGTAGTAGTAGTTGTTGTTGTAGTTAATGGGTGCAAATGTACACATATATATATGTATAGGAAAATGGATGAGTCAGCGAATAGATTAAGCAGTTAATAATGAAGCTAGCAGAATGAATACATGCGTAGGCGCTAAACAATGTTCAAGCGTATGTATTTCATACAAGCATTAATAATAAAGATAGTACAACAAGTTGTTATATCATGGATGACTTTGTCCACTAAATAAGTTAACAAAAAGGGCTTAACTGGGTTAAATGAAAATAAACCCATTAGCACGTGAGTCGCTATACATGTATACTTTCTATAGAGTAATACACATTCATAATTATTCGTATACAACTTTTGCCGCGTTTTGACTCATTTAAAGTGATTGAAAATCTCATGTCTGATGTTGTAGATAAATAATATCTAATCAACTAATAATTTATGTGTAATGCCAATCGAGAGTGAATAAGATATGTAATGAAATTACCTATCGAAAATAATGGTAGGTGGTTGAACAATTGTCCATGAACTGAGTGAAACTAAACTTGTAAAATATTGGGTGCTCTTCAAGGATTTAAATATTAATCGCTCTCCGTGATACCTGGAGCTCCTGGGTTCAGCCCTTTATAATGATAGGGTTCATAGGTGCCTATTGCTACTAGTCAGTCAGTCAGTAACTTAGACCAGTTCATAATCTGAACAATATATCTAAATTATTGTTACCTTAAAAACTTAAGAATTTCCTTGATTTTTTCAATGACCTTTGTATTTAAAGTCATATTGTACGATATATTTTATAGCATTTTTATTATTGAAGTGGTTTTATATATAATAAGGGGAAATATCCCTTTGTTTGAATAGTCCTATTTTTGCTCTCATATGTACATTCCATATTCCAAGTTTTTATCGAATATACTGCCTTTCTGGATACCATTTCGTCGTTATTTTAAAACAAAGCATTCAGTCGAACACTTGTTCATAATCAACATATAGAGTATAACAAAACTTTACACCGAAAGAAGTTTCCATACCACATCGATACAGCCAGATAAGGCCAACACGAATCGAATTAATTCACTTAAAACGATAATAACAAAGACTTATCTTTGAGAATATATTTCAGAAAAACGTTATGTAAAGGTATACACGAAAGAATGCTGGAACACTAAGATCTAATGCACGATAAAGTGAATTCATCTGCACTATGATCGATTTTTGTCTCATCTCCATTCATCGATCGCAGTTATCACCAGATTGTAGCCAGACCGTTTGCAATGCTTCTAATACACTTGTGATAAAAATTCTACAGTCTACCCACATTTTCTACTGTCAGCACATACTGTCACATTCCTAAAAATAATTACGGACCAGATGAACTGAATGTTCTCTATCAGTTATAAAAACATATGATCTATTATAAGTATGTAAAGTAATGATTATATCCCACTGTCCGAGATTCAAGGAATACTAACCTTAAACCTATCAAATATACAGTTGACTTCTTATACGATTGTTAAGAATGCTAGATCCCCAGAAATCACTTAGTAACTGTCTCATTTTTTGACTTCATTTTGGAAATTTGATTTCCTCATTTTTGCGCAAAAAGCGCCAATTTTTACCTTTAATTTGTATTTTTCCACTTGGAAGAACCTTAAATGTCATTGGTTCATGCTTCCAATTGCTTGTGGAAAATACATTTACATCGTCTGAAACTGATCTTCTCCCTCTAGTTAGCAGGGCTGAGATGCAGTAGAATAGTTTAGCTTGTTCTGTTGTTGTGTTGCTGACTTTTGTTCCGTTCGCCAGTTTAAGGTGATATCATAATTTGTTCAAACGTAACAACCATATTCACTTAAAGAGGAATATATATATATATATATATATATATACTAAAAATTAGTCAATGTCTACGCTTACATTCATTCACAAAGTTCTAATGTAAACATATCTCCCCTTATTAAATCATACATGACTTGGGATATTGCGAAAAAAAATTGAAACGGATAATAACATGGTAATATTTAAATGCATATCCTCTTCAGTGTAACCATTTTAATTTTCCCATATAAAGGTTAAGTAATCAATCAATCCAATCTTCTTTTCTTTGCGTTTTAAAAGGAACAATCATCAAGGTACAATTATCTCTCTGAACATAATCTTTTTGAATATGTTAGTTACATTAGAAATAGCTGCCTAATTTCGATAGTTATTTTATGGTTTATCAAGAAGAATTATGTTTCCTATGAAACATATAATTCTAAACAAAAGTAATTGCTTGTCAAATAACATACTATTACGTAATATGTGTGTTATATTACGTAATTAGATTAGAACAAGTTACTTGAATTTGTCAATGAGTATTGTACTGCATGTAGTTCTTCTAGAGTAACTACCGGTCTGGTCCCAAACCCAGGTAAGGGAGGAAGGTTAGACATGAGGTCAGAAAACAACCTTGCTAAAAAGCACTAACTAGAATAAACAATTTAAAAAAGCATCGATTGCCAGGTATTTAATAGTCTTATTACGAGTGAATCGTTACATATCTATTTATATTAATAACTATAATAAGTTAAAATGCCATTACTCTTGTATTCTATTTTCTACTTCCTTTTATCTCTTTTATAAAAACACAGGACAACAGAAACAACAGACTGGTAACAGTAGCTCTTCTACAACCACTTCAACTGTCAATCCGCCACTTACAACTTGTTCAATAATAACGACAACAGCCAATGTAACCAGTAGTAATAGTAGTACGATTACTTCTACTCCTAATACTACTACCACAGTCGTCACTAATACTTCTGTTACTGGTTCCAATACAAATATAATATCTCTCTCTTGTCAGTTTGCTTCCCCCAATAATAATAAACAGTCTCCTTCCAGTAATTTAGCGCATTGTATTCATGAAAAACTTCCCTCCAGTAGTAGTAGTAGTAGTAGCACTACCACGACGATGACGACTACATCTCATCAGCATTATAATTCCGAACAGGACATAATGAATGCATCCTACTTAACATTTGCTCCAAATCAAGAAATTAAACTATCTGGATCAATTGTTACCTCTACTACTTCTACTGTTCCACCACCATAATGACTTCGATCGATTAAATATCCCTTTATACTACTCATAAGAAGTCGGTAAATATGGATGCAAGCTATCATTTTTTTGTTGGTTGGTTGGTTTGAAATCCTCGCAATATTATAGTGTCACAGTGGTATTATTGTTAGTGATTGTGTAATTTGTTTCTTTATACATTTATCTGCTTAATTCATTCACTTTGCTGGGTTTTCTCTCTCTTCTATTTATCTTCTATTATGATATGTTATTATCCCTTATTTTTACGGAAACCTATATATATATATATATATTATTACTGAAATTTCACCCCGGTTGGAGTCTATCCTTATTGTTCTTTCCTGCGCTCTATCTCTCTATGAAATGCATTCAATTCACTTTATTACTTACTTTTCTGGCAAGCGTTTATATATATATATATATATATATATATATATATATATATAGGCTATCGATCATTCTATTTCTTATGCTATGCGATTGAGTTCCTCTTTTTTTTATTATCCCCGACACCATCAATGTCATCCACTTTATTTCTAAGCATAAATAATAACACACATTGGTGAAATTCTCTTGAATCAATCTCAACATAATATGATGTTATTGTTACATTTTTTGTTTTCTTTTTTATTCATTAAAACACCATGAAGCTTTTATCATGTTCAAGTATCAATAGTGATCATTAGATTGTTAGTGTAAATAATAGTAATAATAATAATACCAGTAGTAGCTGTTATTATTGTTGTTGTAATAATAATAGTGATAACGACAATGATCGCCTTTCTCCATCTAAACTAATACACGTACAAAAATACAAAGGCAGAAGTGTAATGTTTTATTATTGTGTTATCATACTCTCTAATTAAACTGATAATACTGTTTGTGTATGTGTTATTTTCATGATATTTTTCACCATTCAGTTAACACATACAAGTCTCCTTGTTTATTTCAATAAAACATTTGAATAGAACAAGAAAATTGGATGACGTGTATATGTTAATCTACCTGGTAATGACGATAGTCTCTCAGAATTATCCCTAACTTGATCAAAACAAATCACTTTCTTTTTTTGTTCTGAATTATATTTATTATTCTACAAAGATAAACCATGTTAAGCACAAGATGTGAATAGAATCATTATTTCCTCCATGAAGATGATTTCTTCTCTTTTCTTTTTTCTGATGGTGATTACTTTGGCAGCAGTTCTCTTGTGTTTGTATGCATGCGTATGTGGAGTCTTGTGAAATAATAATAATTTACTTTCTTTCCGTAATTCATAATAAAATACTATCAATTACATTCATGAATGTAGTCAATTATTCTCTCTTTTGTTTCATAGCAAAATGGAAATCGATAAAAGAAGGATCTTCTTATATATATCTATATATACTATAAACAATGATCTTTGAAGTCTTTAATAATTATTCTCTTACTATATTTAATTCACTGCTGATTATAACTTGCTTCTATTATACATTTACTAGTTTCTTCTAAACATTATTTACTCTAATATAAGATGGTGTTAACAACGACAACAACAACAACAAAAATAGTCAGTTCATTCGTCATTATTATCGTTGTTGTTGTTGTCGTTTTCTTCAATGATAGTAATTTGTTTTCCATCAAAAAACACTTTCATTCAAGTAAATAACATCAGTCAAATGGTGTGTGTGTGTGTGTGTGTGTGTGTATTGAATATGTTGATCGGATCATCTTATATTAGTTACAATTTAATTGCTTTTTATTTATTTCCATTATTATTATTACTCTTTATTATCATTTAATTAATTTAATATTATTATTTTATCAATGATATATGTTTCTCTTATCATTGTGTTTTATTTGTTTTATATTTTAAAACATAAATTAGCATTCCTTTATATCATGTTGCTTGTAAAGATCAATTTCCTAGACCACTATTATTATTATTCTCATTGTTACTTTGTTCTTCTTGTTTTTTTTCTTTTAATATTCTCTTTTATTTATATTTTGGTTATGAAAAAAACACAAAACAATAAAAGTATACAGGTTTATCTATCATTCAACAATAATTTTACTCGGTGTATTCTTCTCTCTATTAGGGTGATTTCTCCCTTTTCTTTTCCTTATTTTATATATATATACAATTCTCATTATTGTATTTATGCATAAATGAATTCATTACAAGTGTATTCCTTCAATTAAGATATATATATTGAGTGTGATGTTTCCCCCCCCTCCGCCTTTACGTACATACATACAACATACACGCGCGCACGCACATACAGTCATATACTTGTTTTTGTCAAATACAATTGATTTAATTATTTTGTTGTTATCATTGTGCCTTTTTCTTAAATGATAATTTTTTTTTAAAAAAAAGTTAATACCCCTCCCCACTGAAAAGTGCTTAATTTAAGTACATGTAAATGTTCTCTAATTAGACACATTTCTCTTCTTGTGTAAAGTGTGTTATTTCATTTCTCTCTTCTTTTTTTTTTGCTTTCAAAGTTTTACTTATGTATATCCATTGAAATAAAGAGATATAGTCAGTCTAATCTATTTTTAATGTTCATAAGTGGCGTTTGAAGCGAATGAATGGATGATAAATCCCTTTATATATATATATACCATCATTACTCATTCAAACAATATAATTGAGTTATAGTATTTCATATTCGTTGTTCTTATGGTAATATTTTATGGAAGGTATTTCATGTGTGTGTGTGTATATTCTTGTGTTTTATTCCAATAACAGCTGTCATCGGATGTCATATGTATATGCCTATTTGTGTTTTTAGTTGTATTTTGCTTGTTTATTATTTATCATTCTCTTAGTAAAACGATTATTAATAAGGCTTTTTTTAACAATCATGAATCAAGTTTCTATTATCTATTTGTTTTATCAATTTTGCCTATTATCATCAAGTTGTTGTTGTTGGTGGTGGTGGTGTTGTTTTGTTTTTATAACGAAAGTGTTTCTTCTCCGGTGTATGCGTTGTTTTGATGTTGGCTTTTTTAAAAATAAAAAAGTATCTGAACTTAGTTGTTTATTTTCTTAGTGTTTGTTTGTTTGTTTTTCGGGAAAAAAATGAGGTTATTCCCCCATTTGCTCACTGGTTTCTCGAATATTCTTTTTGCTTTTATTTATTTCTATATATACATATATTTGTACTTTCTCCGATTGTGTGTGCCTCTTTGTACATAATAAAAATACTTTAATCTTTTTTTGAATTTTCTCTCATTCTGTGTGTCTACAACTAGGGAACTTTTGTTGTGCTTTTTTTTAAACATTCAGACTGATATTTTTCGTATGTTGCTAATTAAAATAGGCTCATAAATTAGGTGATTATCTTTATTCTTGATTAACTGTATTTTTGGGGCGTGAGGAGAGGGTGAGATTCGTAAAGAATTACTTATAAACTATTATGTCATCTTATATTACAGCTTTTTTTCGCACGTAATCGAGTTGCCTATCTTTTGCTGCCTTTCTCTTGTTTTATTCCTGTTATACTACTTATATACATACATATATATATATTTATATGTTTACTATTTCTATCTTTGCCTGTGGTAAGCATTGTGGAATTATCAAGGCAATTTATGCTATTATATGATTCAAAGACCATATGCTTTGTTGTTTGTTTTATTTAGGTTGATTAGTCGTATTACTTTTAATCAACACTGTTCTGGCTGTAGATCCCTATGCATCTATTATATATACACACAAAAAGAGTAATAGGCATATAATCACTCAATTTATTTTAAGCTTTCCAGTTTTAAAAACCTGATATCATTGAATCTTGAATGGATCACTATTGTTCTTATTATTACTCATATGTACTTTATCCTTATTAACCTACCTATTATTAACATATATTCCTTAACGTCTTGTGTACATACTTATATATATATATATATGCTTTATTTGCAATTATTCCATTTCATCACATTCATTATGAAATTCACATAATAATAATATTGATGGTTATTATTATTATTATTAATTCATCTGTATCCAGATTGTAGTTGATTGTATGGGCAAAATTGTGTAATGATAATAATTATGGTACGCATAAGAACTTTCAAAAGAAGAGAAAACAAGCAAGGATGAAGATGATAGTAGCTAAGTGAATCGTTCTTTTTTTTGTTGTTTTTGTTGAATATTTCATCTGGTCATAAATTAGTGAAAATGTAATTTTTTACGTAAGGAAGATTGTGTTTTGTTCTGTTTCTTTTTCTTGTGTTCTTTCCTTGTTTTGTTTTCTTTTTTTTTTAAAGTTCTTTCTATTTCAGTTACTGAAAAAAAATACATTGTTTTGCGCAAATTTACTTTTTATCCTGATGTTACTATTAGTTAAGGTGTTTCTCTACAACTTACAATTGAAACGGGATTAGGATATTGGTTAGCAATGAAATCCAAGATACACATCCTCTCGTCCTATTTGGCACTTAGCTCTACCTGGATAGCTGTATTTGTTGCATTCCAGTTCATCAATTTTCTCTCAGATATTCGAACCTACTATATTTCGCCTAAACCCTCTCACGTGTCATTTATCCTAGCTATGTAGTCGCAATGATGCATTTCTTTTGTTTGAATATCTCTTATTACTGTCGAGTCGTTCATGTAACATAATTGGCCTTCACACTTGTTGTGGCTCAAAGCCAAGTGAAAAAAGATCACTTGTTGAGCTGATCAGAAGTAGACAAACGAAAAGGTTGTTTGATGATAATCCAGAATGACCTGAAGAAGTAATGCATGTATTGATTTTTTTAAAGAACAAAAGTTTATATATATGTGAGTATTTATGTATCCTATTCAGTGGCCCTATAGACTCTCACTCTTCTCGCTCAATACGTTAGTTTGGTGGCTATTGCGTAGCACATTTTATATCACAATTAAATTTCGAACACCGCCCACAATAACAGTGAGTTGATCGAATATAGTAGAGTATGAATTATTAGTGGAGGTTTCACATACATTTGTTTATAGCTACTAGCTATTAAAAGATATTGAGTGCGTTGCCATTACTCAT